AAAAAAAAAAAAAAAAAAAAAAAAAAAAAACACACACACATAAAACAGCAATCCAAAAGTGCATTTTCAGGCAATTTTGGCATGCCATACTAGAGACCTTCACCATCGGCATTTGGTTCACCTCTGAGGCTTGACTGACTTGGGAAGAGAACTATCAGCTTGGATACATGATGTTACTGGGTTGAAAGGAGTGATCCGATAAGCAAGATAAGGACATACATTCCCACCCTCGCCTACCTAACCTCTTCGTCACTGGACGTTTCTCCCCTTTAGGCATCCCGTTTCTCCATACAAGGACTGAACCTTGACCCTTCTGTAGGTGAAAGGTAAATGAACAGACAAATCGAGCTAAAAGTGTTGAGCTTCTCTGTGCCAGTCAGTAAACTCCAACCTACCATTGAGGTTTAGTTGTAAGCCGCTTTGCCACTCAAAAAAGGACTGACCACGAAGTTCAAAGGAACGTGAAAATCTGCCTAACAGCCTGATGCTCATGTCTCACGCGTTTAGCGCTAATCGGCAAGAGGCAGAACCTTATGAGGAAGGTCGTATATATAATCGTTCAATTTATGACAGATGGGGGTTGGATCCTCGATTAGATGCCGATTACCTTGCAGGACCTCGACAAATAAAAGTTTACCTGAATTCGTCAGTGTTCGGGAAAGTGTAGGATAGCACAGGGGTGAGAGCAGAATGAGATGAGCTCGTGTATGATGGCTCTCTGCTTTTTGCTAGAATAGTAACCTCGGTACCAAGCACTCATGAGATCGTTATGAGCAAGTGGTTGCACAAAATTATAAGCATTCCGCGGAATTGTATAAACGTGCAACTGTACGGGCTTGTAGATGAGATGATGTACGAGCGTGTGACTCTGTGAGCGTCCAGATGAACGTGAAGTGAGAATCAAAGGTTTAGGTTATGGAAAGCCTTCAGCCTTACGTGGTTTACAATTAGAAGGTCTTATTATAACCAGGATCAGCGATGTAACTCCAACACCACATAACGGATGTCGTCCTCCTAAGAAACACCGCGTATAATATCATATCATCGCTTCTCGACCTTGTTTTTTTTTTTTAGCCTTCGAAAGAATTCTTTTTTGTTGCATCATTGCTTCTCGACCTTTTTTTTTTTTTTTTTAGCCTTCGAAAGAATTCTTTTTTGTTTTTGAGCAAGTTTTTTTTATTACCAAACATTTTCCAACATTTGTCGACAAGTTTTAAATTTTGATGCGCGCATTTTATTTATCTTAGTTTTTTTTCCATCAACTCGTAAGCGTTCCCTCGCCAATGTAAACCCACAGGCATTTATGCAAACTTACGGATGCACAGTCATCGGGCTGGATTGTCAACCCAACCCCCTACACTGAATGAACTAGGATGTTTTCTTTGGCTGCCGAGTCCGAGTAATGAGCCACAAAGAAAAAAAAACGCCAATTGAGGAAAATATTTTTTATTTAATTGCTAAGTTTTTACTTGATGGGGATTAGTGTCAGTAATAACTAATGCTCCAAGAGTTGGCAGGAAGCTGGCTAATCAGACTGAGATAATGACACATAACTTTCCTACTTTGTGACAATGTGAACGGGGTCTGTAGCCAAGAGGCAACTTCCAGCATACCCCAGTACTTCCCTTTGATACTAAAGAACCTGACGGTTGGAGATGTTTGGTGATAAGTGTCGTGGACTCGACGCATAATCGGAAGTAGATCACGAACGCACATTATTGACCAAAGCAAATTTCACAATTTTATCCAGTCATTTGCATTCGCAGAAGTACCTTGTTGTTCTATGAGCCCTAACCTCTGGAGACGAGATTACACGAATAACCACTATATAATTCAACGACGGGTGAAGGTGAAACCTCCTTTGCATGGCAACAGCAGTTTCCTGAGCCCAGATCGGGTGTTCAAGCATCGGGGAACTGGCAATCGATCTGATTGTGATGGAACCCTGTCGCTGTGTGAACTTCATCTTACTCTACAAAGGGGATCCCAGGTTGAGTAAGACTCGTGCATCGAGTTGTGAAGTGGTTTCTCTTGCAAGCAGAAGACACACCCCCGGTAAACCAAAGTTTCCCTCGCCCAACTCCGCAAGCAAGCTCTATCTCTTGCGATACGAAAACGTTACACAGCTCG